CTCCTTTGCTTTCTGCTTCAGACGGGCTTGTTCTGGATCTTCTTGCCGCGAGCGACTCTGGGAGAGAGAGAGAGAGAGAGAGAGAGAATGAACGACAGAAGGAACGATGGAGAGAGAGACGGGCAGGTGAGCGTGTCGGGATCTCAACTCATCCGCGCACTAAAATAGTTGCGGACAAACGAGGGCAGATCTGATGCGTCAAGGACAGCGTGTGTGTGTGTGTGTGTGTGTGTTTGTGCGTGTTCAGCGGTGACTGACTCTGCGCCCGCAGGCTGTGCCCTCCAAACATTGCTGACACACACACACACACACACACACAACACCACAGGCAACAACTAATCAAAAGACACAATTTACAAATGCAGCTTCAGCTGACACTCATCTGTGTGTGTGTGTGTGTGTGTGTGTACAAACCTATTAAGGCCCGTTCACACCAAGAACTATACTGTTAATGATAACTATATTAGCGTTCACACCAGCGCATAATTTCATTCTGTTTATAATAAGCGCACGCTGCAGTTTTGTCGTCTGCCTCTTTAAATGCTCCAGCTCTTTAAAGCAGGATTCTGATTGGCTGTCAATGTTTTTATCGTTCATCGGCTGGAAAAATAAATCATTCTGAAAGTGATCGCAATGATGTTTTCCCCTGTTATCGTCACAGGTGTGCTGCGAACTCTGCTATTATTTCATATTTAGGACGATTTTTAGAACTATCGTTATCGTGTGAACGGGCCTTAAAGGGATAGTTCCCCCAAAAATGAATTTCTGTCATGTTGTTTCAAACCTACATGAATTTCTTTCTTCTGCTGAACACACACAACAAAAAGCCAGTATCCCACAGTTAATGGACCCCATTGACGTCCATATTATGGAAAAAATACTATAGGGCCCATCAACTGTTTGGTTCAGAATTTTAATTTTAAGGTGAACTGTCCCTTTAAGGGTGTTAGTCCAAGGCCCTCTGGTCACCATTAATCGAAATAAAAGCGAAATCGTGATATGACTACGTGAGATTATCAAATCTCAAAGGCTGCGATGGAACTCAATAAATATATGCGCTGCGTGTTTCAGAGTGAAGCGTGGCACTGTTGTCTTACACACGAGCATCGTATGATCCGGTGTTTTCAGTGTCTCGGGTCACACGTGAACTCGGGGTTTGTCTCCCTGGGTATTTTAGTACAGACAAAACACATTTTAATTATTTTTTCTCAAACTGGACGTTTTAAATGTTCAGAGAATATTCAGAAATAACGTTTTCAGGTTAATGCTTTTACTTAAAAAAAAAAATCGGTAAAATATGTGTGTGTGTTTGTTTGCGTGCATGTGTGTGTTAAGAGTGTGAGTTTGAGAGTGTGCGTGTGAGTGTTCAGTGAGGGTAAATCTGTCTGCTGAAGCATTTAATCGTGGCCTTGTGTGATTCTACTCGCATTTTGTCTCTTAAAGAGAGAGGGAGAGAGGAGTGTGTGAGGTGTGTGTGTGATCCTGAGGGCTTTGTGTTTAGGTCTCCAGTCTTTTTTTAATTGCCCCATGAGGATGTCTCCTAACTCTCTCTCTCTGCAGGAGAGGGGCGGCACACACTCTGCCCTTCCTCGTTGCTAATTGGTTTTAAATATATCAGGCGGTTCACGTACTGGTCGCTATCTCGGCTGAGAGTAATGCGTTTGGCCCCTGGCCCTCGAGCTCGTCCCTGAAGACTCCAGTCATATTTGAAATGGACGATGAGATTTATTTTAGTAGGTTCATGTTTAAGGGGTCAAATCACGCTGAGCTTAAAGACGCACAGCGAGAACACAAGGACACACACGAATCAGAGCTGATTAGCGCTTTCTGTTCCCACGGAATGATCTAAACCCACAGGATCGCTTTGTTCTATTAGTCAATATTCATTCACTGCCAGTACTTTACACTATTGTTAACATCAGTTAATGCATCAACTAGAAATGAGCAATTTATTTTTATAACATTTAATCATCTTTTTTTCTGTTAGTTAATAGAAGAACAATTCACAGTGAAATTAACAGAGACAACTTTTGATTTTAAATTACGATAAAGTAAGATTACTAACTGCTGTAGAAGTATGGTTCATTGTCATGTTACACTCTATATACAGTAGATTCTATATAGAACTTTATAGAGTTCATGACTCAATTTTAAGGAATGCTTAAATAATGTTAAATGTCTTAAATAATTGCATAAAACTCTTGTGTTTAATGGGGTTTTTTTTCTAGTGATGAAGTGTTTTTATAAACTGTTTAATCCAATTAAATTAATTAACACTAAATCCATATAATGACCCCATAATGGAACCGGTAAAAGATTTATATATGCATTCCTGATGGAACCCTTTAAGGTTCTAAATGGAACGGGTAAAATGTTCGATATATACATTCCTGATGGAACCCTTTAAGGTTCTAAATGGAACCAGTTAAAGGTTATATATATATATATATATATGCATTCCTGATGGAACCCTTTAAGGTTTTAAATGGGACCCTTTAAGGTTCTAAATGGAACCAGTTAAAGGTTATATATATGCATTCTTGATGGAACCCTTTAAGGTTTTAAATGGAACCGGTAAAATGTTCTATATATACATTCCTGATGGAACCCTTTAAGGTTCTAAATGGAACCAGTTAAAGGTTATATATATGCATTCCTGATGGAACCCTTTAAGGTTCTAAATGGAACCCTTTTAAGTTTCTAAATGGAACCAGTTAAAGGTTATATATATGCATTCCTGATGGAACCTTTTAAGGTTCTAAATGGAACCCTTTTAAGTTTCTAAATGGAACCAGTTAAAGGTTATATATATGCATTCCTGATGGAACCTTTTAAGGTTCTAAATGGAACCAGTTAAAGGTTATATATATGCTTTCCTGATGGAACCATTTAGGGTTCTAAATGGAACCCTTTAAGGTTCTAAATGGAACCAGTTAAAGGTTATATATATGCATGCCTGATGGAACCCTTTAAGGTTCTAAATGGAACCAGTTTAGGTTATATATATGCATTCCTGATGGAACCCTTTAAGGTTCTAAATGGAACCAGTTAAAGGTTATATATATACATATATATATGCATTCCTGATATAACCATTTAAGGTTCTAAATGGAACCAGTTAAAGGTTATATATATATGCATTCCTGAGGGAACCATTTAAGGTTCTAAATGGGACCCTTTAAGGTTCTAAATGGAACCAGTTAAAGGTTATATACATATATGCATTCCTGATGGAACCTTTAAGGTTCTAAATGGAACCAGTTAAAGGTTATATATATGCATTCCTGAGGGAACCATTTAAGGTTCTAAATGGGACCCTTTAAGGTTCTAAACGGAACCAGCTAAAGGTTATATATATGCATTCCTGATGGAACCCTTTAAGGTTCTAAATGGAACCAGTTAAAGGTTACATATATGCATTCCTGATGGAACCCTTTAAGGTTCTAGATGGAACCAGTCAAAGGTTATGCATTCCTGATGGAACCCTTTAAGGTTCTAAATGGAACCAGTAAAAGGTTCTATATATGCATTCCTGATGGAACCCTGGTTCTAAACAGAACCAGTAAAAGGTTCTATATATATGCATTCTTTGTGGAACCCTTTAAGGTTCTAAATGGAACCTTTTCTTCTAATAGTGTCACTAGTGTAATAAACTAATGTTAACTAATGGGACTTTCCAGACTACAGTGGCAATGATTTACTACAGACGACACGTTTACGATGCGTTTAAGTTGAGAACACACATCATGTTTCCCTGATCGCATTTTAAACTTCAGCGGAGTTCAAATTCCTCACAACCGTGAGACTTCAGCTTGCACAACGTCCCGTCCCGAAACAAAGTCACAGAGGTCGGCGAGGCCATTCACACTCACACCTGAGCTAAACTGAGTCGTTTTGGCCGGCCAGCGGAAATATAATCTAGCTCCGGCATAATAACGCCATTAGGCCGAAGGGAGGCGAGGGGGTCTTTACAGCGGGTCATCGTCTCTGAGCTAAATGAATTAATGATGGAAACGAGCCCAACTATTTCACTGCGGCGCTGCGGGCGACGGGAAAAGGGAACGCAATCGCATCTTTAATTGGAAACTCCGTCGTCTGGGGTTATCAGGGGCTTCCAGGATCAGACGCACACTCTCAGATATAGACTTTCTTCAAACATCCTCAGACATGTAGTGGGATGAGATCTGATCAGTCACAGCATGATGAGCTCTTTCACTGCATACACACCAGATATACTCAACCTGTGTTTCTGTGTAAATAAACACATTCAGGTGTAAATTGCATAATTGAATGAAATTATTAATGAAACACAGGCTCAGTATATCTGGTGTGCATGCAGTGAACGAGCTCACCATGCTGTAACTTGATTTCTGCAAACTGCAAAAATGAATGCAACCATGCAAAAAAAAAAAAAATGTTCCACAGATATTAGGTCTGTGATTAGATTTTTAGTCATTTTTGTATTTTTTTTTTTTCTAAACTAAGTTAAACTAAATGAAAATGAGAAATGTTGCTTTGGAAACTAGATGAAAATGTGTTTTTTTTATGGTTTAAATTTTATAAAGGTTTATTTATATCAAGTTTTTCAAGCAATGAAAATCCCAAATAAATGTACGACTTTTTTTATGATCCAAAACAGAAGAAGCGCTCTCATACCGGAACGAAAGTGAATCACTCTGCTTTCCTGCAGATCATTTATTGCAATAAAACAAGCATCTGATAATGGCAAATTCACTTGATTTAATGCTAAATATGTGGAATGATACTCAAAAAAACATATTGATTGGTGTTTTATATAGAACTGACACAAGCAAATAAGGTTTTCTTACGATTCAATCATTTTAAAACTAATAAGCGTGTGATTGATTGATATTATTGTTTTTATCTATATTAAGTTTAAGGAAAAGCATGCCTTTATGCATATATTTATTCATGTTTATGTAACTTATTATTCTACTTTCTATCCCACTTTCTGCTGTAATGTTGCAATTTCTCATTTGTGAGACAAATAAAGGCTAATCTTATCTTATTTTATCCTACATCTTTATTTTGAACATGTAAATACAATTAAAAAAAGAAATCAGAGGGATAAAAATGGGGGGAAAAAACAGATGAACAACAAAATAAAACTAAAGTAATTAAATAATTAAATAAATTAAATAATGTACAAATAATAAGAAGAATTTAAGGTTCTAATACTATTTAATAAGAAGAAGATAAGAATTGAAATAATAAGAAGAAATAATAAGAATATTGTGCAAAAGTTCATTTATTTCAGTAATTCAACTTAAAAGGTGAAACTAATATATTATATAGACTCATTACATGCAAAGTGAGATTATTTGTTATAATTTTGACGGTTATGGCTTACACCTATGAAAACATTTTCAATATATTCTAATTTTGAATTTGAAATTTTTTTTTATGTAATTAATTAGTTTCACCTTTTAAGTTGAATTTACTGAAATTAATTAACTATTCTAATGTTTAAAGTTTCACCTGTATAATCAATGAAAATATAGTTCTTTTCACTACACACAAACAATATATGTACGTGAAAATGTGCGATCAGACGGGTGTATTAGTCCAGATAGCGTTCACCGGGAGAGGATCTGAGAGATTACCTTCGCTGCTCGGAGGAGAATCTCTCGCTCTCGCTCATCTTTCCTCTGCTTCTCCATCCGTTCCAGCTGCTCAAAAAACCTGAGCTGCGAGCGCACATCAGACGACTGCTCGTACCCCTCGCCTTCCTGGAGACACACACACACACACAGAGCTCAAAACTTCTGATACTCGTAAACACATTTTAACTTATTAATGAGTGTTTATTATGACTCAATGGTGATGAAAACCTTCTTCTCAGGCAGGTGAGACGGAAGTTTATGGGGCTAGCGCAAAAAACATGTTTACTTCAGAACGCGACCTCGATTGTTTTGTGCACTTCCTGCTGCTTTTCATTTTCTGACGAGCTCGTCTCTCCTCTCATCCCTGGCTCCATCTCTCCTGTCCTTTGTTGGCTATGAAGTCAGGACGATCTTGTGTTTTGCTGATGTCGACACGGGTGCTCATTTAGAAACCAGCGGCACGCACAAACCAACAAAACAAAAAGCCACAACACACACCAAACAGAAAAACAAAACGTCCATGACAGCGCGCCTCTCCGCTGAACTACTCGCCATGTGCACAAATAAACAGCTTTTAAAGCGGTGTTTTCCTCGTTTGTGGGTTTGTTTTGTTCGTCTTGGGTTGATGCGACGCGGTGTTGGACTCTCTGGCTGTGCGTTTGAATATTGAATTGTTTACCTGGATGCTTCTGTCTCTTTGTCACTTATGTGCCCAAAAGTTTCCACTTTAACGACACACTTTACGATAAGATTGTGTGTGTGTGTGTAAGGGATGGTTCACCTACAAATAAAACTTCTGTCATTAATTATTCACCCTCATGTCGTCCCAAACCCGTTTCGTTCATCTTCAGAACACAAATGAAGATCTTTTTATTTAAAATGGAGATTGACAGTCTACACAACTACCACTTTGACGCTTCATATAGTTAGTTTCTAAAGAGATCGTAAAACTAATCGATATGATTTAAATTTAAATTTTCTGAAGAGACTCGATCGCTTCGTACAGTATGAACCCATTGAATTTAGGCTTTTATTCACATATGTATATTTCCTCACCATCTCATTCCTAGAACTGGCAAAGAGCTCTGTATGATTGTTATGGCATTGCTAGTGTATTCAAGGTGGTTGCTAAGGCGTTGCTGGGGCATCACTAGGGAGCTGCTAAAGTGTTCCAGTGGTTGTTAGGGCATTGCTATGTGGTTTCTAGAGTGTTCAAGATGGTTTATATGGCATTCCGTGTGGTTGCTTAGGTGTTACCATGTGGTTGCTAGTGTATTCAAGGAGGTTGTTAGGGCGTTGCTAAGGCATCACTAGGGAGCTGCTAGTGTGTTCCAGTGGTTGTTAGGGCATTGCTGGGTGGTTTCGGGTGGTTTCTCCTAGAGTGTTCAAGAAGCTTTATAGGGCCTTATGTGTGTTTGCTTAGGTGTTGCTATGTGGTTGCTAGTGTATTCAAGGTGGTTGATAGGGTGTTGCTAGGGAATCACTATGGAGCTGCTAAAGTGTTCCAGTGGTTGTTAGGGCATTGCTATGTGGTTTCTAGAGTGTTCAAGATGGTTTATGTGGCATTATGTGTGGTTGCTAAGGTGTTGCTACGTGGTTGCTAGTGTATTCAAGGTGGTTGATAGGGTGTTGCTAAGGCATCACTAGGGAGCTGATTATGTGTTCCAGTGGTTGTTAGGGCATTGCTATGTGGTTTCTAGAGTGTTCAAGATGGTTTATATGGTATTCTGTGTGGTTGCTTAGGTGTTACCATGTGGTTGCTAGTGTATTCAAGGAGGTTTCTAGGGCGTTGCTAAGGCATCACTAGGGAGCTGCTAGTGTGTTCCAGTGGTTGTTAGGGTATTGCTGGGTGGTTTCGGGTGGTTTCTCCTAGAGTGTTCAAGAAGCTTTATAGGGCCTTATGTGTGTTTGCTTAGGTGTTGCTATGTGGTTGCTAGTGTATTCAAGGTGGTTGATAGGGTGTTGCTAGGGAATCACTATGGAGCTTCTAAAGTGTTCCAGTGGTTGTTAGGGCATTGCTATGTGGTTGCTAGAGTGTCCAAGATGGTTTATGTGGCATTCTGTGTGGTTGCTAAGGTGTTGCTACGTGGTTGCTAGTGTATTCAAGGTGGTTGATAGGGTGTTGTTAAGGCATCACTAGGGAGCTGATTGTGTGTTCCAGTGGTTGTTAGGGCATTGCTATGTGGTTTCTAGAGTGTTCAAGATGGTTTATATGGTATTCTGTGTGGTTGCTTAGATGTTACCATGTGATTGCTAGTGTATTCAAGGCGGTTGCTAGGGCATTGCTAAGGCATCACTAGGGAGCTGCTAGTGTGTTCCAGTGGTTGTTAGGGTATTGCTGGGTGGTTTCGGGTGGTTTCTCCTAGAGTGTTCAAGAAGCTTTATTGGGCATTCTGTGTGTTTGCTTAGGTGTTGCTATGTGGTTGCTAGTGTATTCAAGGTGGTTGATAGGGCGTTGCTGGGGCATCACTAGGGAGCTGCTAAAGTGTTCCAGTGGTTGTTAGGGCATTGCGATGTGGTTTCTAGAGTGTCCAAGATAGTTTATGTGGCATTCTGTGTGGTTGCTTAGGTGTTGCTATGTGGTTGCTAGTGTACTCAAGGTGGTTGATATGGTGTTGCTAAGGCATCATTAGGGAGCTGCTAGAGTGTTCCAGTGGTTGTTAGGGCATTGCTAGGTGGTTTCTAGAATGTTCAGGTTGGTTTATATGCCATTCTGTGCAGTTGCTTAGGTGTTGCAATGTGGTTGCTACTAGTGCACTCAAGGTGGTTGATAGGGTGTTGCTAGGGCATCACTATGGAGCTGCTAAAGTGTTCCAGTGGTTGTTAGGGCATTGCTATGTGGTTTCTAGAGTCTTCAAGATGGTTTATATGGCATTCTGTGCGGTTGCTTAGATGTTACCATGTGGTCACTAGTGTATTCAAGGTGGTTGCTAGGGCGTTGCTAAGGCATCACTAGGGAGCTGCTAGTGGTTGTTAGGGCATTGCATTCACAAGCAAACAGACATATAAATACCCAATGCATGACTAATGTTTAAAAAAATATTGTTTCTCTCCGGATATTTTAAGTGTTGAACAGCAAATTATTTTCATGTTAATGTTTGAATTAGTTTTTGCAGTGAGCAAATGAATGAAACAATGTGTGTTTGTGACACTAAAATAATGTTTGTGTCATTTGTAGGAAAACTATTTACAGCAACAGAATACATGTATAAATAAAAGCCTCTCTTGCACACTGATCCCGTCTCGTACCTTACAAGAGTCCATTCTGTTCTGGGCGATGAAGGAAACTTTCTCCAGCACCGTCCGTAATCTGGACTGGGTGGCGTGAGAAATGAAGCTCACAGCCTCCAGCGGGACGTCCGTCACTCCAAACTTCTTAGCTGAAACAAGAAAATATCAATAATCAAACAAAACACATCACCGCACAGATGTTTGGAAGGACGTCCGGTCCAACGAGAGAAAATTACATCTGTCCTATCTTATAAATCCTCCACGAAAAAAGGTCCAATGTGTGTTGAGAAAATAAAGGTTTGTTATGGTGAACTGACACGACCTGCGCTTAAAACACAAATATGCTGAGGTAGGTTTACAGCTTCTGTGGCTCATTGTCAAACCTGATTTCCTGAAATTTCAGAAAAATGAGTTTGGATGAGCCTTTGTGGTTTGGAAGGTCGGCAAACCTGATGATCCAACCACCCAGAAGACTTAAACAAGCAACTTTGACTCAGGTGTTTCTCCTAAAATCTCTTATACAGACACAAAGTCAATAATTGTCATGCACTAAATATATAGAGCTGTAAAATAGCAGCACAGATCATTTGATATAGGAGGAATCTATTGAGATCTTGGCAAATTTGTGAAATTTTTGAGAAAAATAAGAGTCGTTTTATAATGAGAATCATCTGAGGAACAAGAGCAAATGTCTCTATTTCATCTGATCGTGACTGAGGAGAAACATTTGAGATCGACTTTTCAATTTTTCTTTCTTATGAAAAACAGCTCTTTCACTTGAGTTGACAACTTTTACTTTAAAGGATAATTAGTGCTGGAGTTTTAAAAGAACGCTGCAAACCTTCACAGCACTTCTATCTACAACATCCCCGTCTTTAATTTGCTATTAACATAAGTTCTCCTCCGCTATTATTTTAAGAAAATCACACCAATTATTTAAATCGGCCGCTAAACGTGCCGAGACTGTCCTTAATGACTCCGAACGAGAAGTAAAAAAAGAAATCTTAGGAATGTCAAAACATGAGGAGTTTCTTAAGGCTACGGCTCTTTAAAAAAAACAAAAAAAAAAAACACCAGATTTAGATGAACTGAGGAATTTCTATTTAGTCCGGGGGGGAAAAATAACAAGCTGGTTTTGCAGAGGATAAAATCTTTGGCAAATCTCTTAAAGGAGTAGTTCACTTTTAAAAAAACTTTTGCTGATAATTTATTTACCCCCGTGTCATCCAAGATGTCCATGTCTTTCTTTCTTCAGTCGAAAAGAAATGAAGGTTTTTGATGAAAACATTCCAGGATTTTTCTCCATATAATGGACTTCAATGGGGTCCAAACGGTTCAAGGTCTAAAAGACAGCTTCAGTGCAAACTACAAACTGTTCAAAGGGCTTTAAACGATTCCAGACGATGAATAAGGGTCATATAAAGTGAAACGATGGCTCATTAAAAAAAAAAAAAAGTTAAGTAAACTTAAAGTTTAAGTTTTTTAAAGCTCAAATGCTCGCCTTGCTCTGTTTTGTGATGCGCGTTCGTGACTCTCCTGTTCAAACTCGTTCATCAAAATGAACTAATCTTTTCCTGAGTCAACTCATTCATTTAGTTTCTTGATTGAACCAAATGACTCGGAAAAAGATTCGTTCATTTAAACCGAGTTCGAACAGGAGAGTCACGAACGCGCATCACACAGAACAGAGCAAGGCCAGCATTTGAGCTTATAAAACTTAAACTTTGTTTTGTTTTTTTAAATGAGCGATCATTTCGCATGATAAGACCCTTATTCATCGTCTGGTGTCGTTTAAAGCCCTTTGAACAGTTTGCACTGAAACTCTCATTTGGTCCCCATTGAAGTCCATTATATGGAGAAAAATCCTGGAATGTTTTCATCAAAAACCTTCATTTCTTTTCGACTGAAGAAAGAAAGACATGGACATCTTGGATGACATGGGGGTGAGTAAATTAACAGCAAAAGTTTTTCTAAAAGTGACCTACTCCTTTAATACAGGTTTACCTGTGTTTTAAAAATAGACTTAAAAGCGTCAACTTTTCCTCCTCGTCCCCTATAAACAATCTATCAGAGGAGACAAGCTTCAGTCAGTGCAACCACTGTGTTACACGAGACACCTGGACCCAGAGATCTGCACGTCTTATTTACATTGATGCATCTGGCAGATGCTTTTATTCAAAGCGACTTGCATTACGACTGGTATGAATTTTATTAGTCCAATTGAAAACCCATGACCTTGGTGTTGCAAGCATCATGCTCAACTGATTGAGCACGCAAAGCATGCATTTGATGTTAAGTAAAGGTAAAAGACATGATAACTCTTTAGGAAAGATCTGTGCACTGTGGTCATTGTTGGGTTGTGTGTGTGTGTGCATTTCTCTCAGATTGAGCCGAGCTGGCAGGATTTGTGCCTCCCTTGGTTTGCTGTCACCTACGAGTTCTCCAGCAGCCCATCATCGACACACACCGGCCCGGCCCGGCCCAGCAGGGGGCGCTTCGTCCTCCTACACACACTCCGGCACCTTTGAGAAGAATTACACGCTTCTCCCAGCGACAGCTCCATGCTAACGCTAACGCGAGGTAAAACAGAAACCCTAGGGCTTCTGACGCTTAACCGAGAGATCTAATGTGTAGCGAACGCGAGAACAAGTGCTAGTTTAAACTAGTTCGTGAGGAAAGAACTTTCTAGTCTGGAAATGGTGCATTTTGTGAGAGAAATCGCACTTCGTTTAGCAGTAAATTAGCTCGACTCATCTGAGATGTTGTAGCATTTGGAAACTATACAAAGCAAATCACACAAGGAGAGTTAATGAGGTTGTTTTAAATTACGTGTTTGGGAGCAATTGATTTGATTTGATTTATTGGTTTATTTAAAAGGGGACAGTGCAATTTCACAAAACGCATGAACAAAAATGGTTAAAAAAGCCAGAATTAGCCAAAAGGCTATTTTTCATCTGTAGTCCCCTAGCCAAGATGTAAAAAAGCATTACAAAAAATCAAGAAAATACATTTATAGGTCTATAGCAAATTGACAAAAAAATATCTACAATATAAATAACACTATAAGATAACATAGGGTACACTGTGCCTATTACAATAATAAAATACACAAAAACACATTTACAAAAAGACTATAATATATTAAATATATACGTAATACAGCTCTTGGTTCGGCTTTTAATGTTGGCAGACATAATTGTTAATAAGCTTATAATTGTTAATTCACCCGAACGCCAGTCTATCGCTCGATATAAGAATGAACCAGAAACCTCGTTTTCTACACATTCAGTACCATGAAAAGGCTGCATTTATTCATTCATAATTCATTTCGGTCAGCTTCAAAAAGAAATTTACAAACCAATATAGAAACAAAAGTGAAAATACAATATAAACAATAATAAAAACATAAAGAAAAGATGCTTGACCGAAAAGGTGTCGGCTGAAGCTTATGCTTATTGCGCCGATCCTTTTTACATTTTATTTATTTAACACACAGTACCGTACAGTAAGTCATTTTGCGAAAATAATAACTAAAAGAAAGGAAAGCTAAACTTATTCAGCTTTGTATAACGTAATCTTTTTTTTATATACAATTTCTATAGATTTACATGTTTTCAGTTCATCATCGAGACTATTCCACATTTTAACTCCCTTAACAGACAGACAACTCTGTTTAACATTTATTTGATCAAATATACAGAAAATTATGAAATATTGTTTTCTATTTCTAAGCTGAATTTCAGCATCATTACTCCAGTCTTCAGTGTCACATGATCCTTCAGAAATCAACCTAATATGATGATCTGATGCTCAATAAACACTTATGATTATTGAAAACAGTTCAGATTTTTGTCCTCTGATGAAAAGAACAACATTTATTTGATTTTTTTAGCATTATATAAATGTCTTTACATACTTTTGATAAATTTAATGCATTCTTGATGACTTAAGATAATACTTTCTTTCTTAAAAAACTCCAAACGTTTGAATGGTAGTGTATATTCCAGCTTATGCTGAGGAATGTTCCAGGTTAAATAAACATGCTGACAGATATGCGGATACGATGTAAATCTAGGCAGACAAACATTCAGCGCTGCTCTTTTTCTTATTTATTTACACAAACACAAAAGGATGAGTCGCCCATTTTTCCGTGGTTATCGAACCACTTTTCCATGTTATGACCTCTCTTTAACCATGTGAAAACGGTTCCAGATCCAGTTGAAAAGACGCAAAACCACAAATGTAAAAACTAGTGCTGGGCAACGATTATTCACATCCAAAATAAAAGTTGTGTTTACATAGTATATGTGTGTGTGCTGTGTATAATTATTTTGTATATATACAAAGAAATGCATGTATATATTTAAGAAAACATATATACATACAATATTTATATATACTATAAATATTTATATACAGTATATACATGCAAATATGTCTCAAATGTATACATGCATTTGTGTGTGTATTTATATATATATAATATAAATATATACAGTATATACATGCAAATATTTCTCAAATGTATACATGCATGTGTGTATTTATATATATATATATATATAATATAAATATATATATATATATGCAGTATATAAATGCAAATATGTCTCAAATGTATACATGCATGTGTGTATTTATATATATATATATACATATATGCAGTATATACATGCAAATATGTCTCAAATCTATATATATAATATAAATATATAGACAGTATATACATGCAAATATGTCTCAAATGTATACATGCATGTGTGTGTGTATTTACAGTATATATACAAAATAATTATACACAGCACACACGCATATATTATGTAAACACAAACTTATATTTTAGATGTGATTAATCGTTGCCCAGCACTATTGAAAACGTGTTTCTACTGGTGACAACAATAAAAATTCAGATTTAGCAAAAGTTTGGTGGGACAATAAGGACACACACTCCTGGTGGCCCAAAGCGAGCGTGGACTGGCCTACATTTACAAGAGAACGTTTACAAGCTCCAGGCGTTTTAACTCCATATCATCCCGGAACAATGAGACGGGTTTGTGTGTCCTAGTGAGACTCTTCTAAACATACATCTAGCGGTGTGAACATTAGCGTTGCGTTGCCGGAGGAGGTACTGTACCTGTTTCCAGTATCCGCCGGTGTAACAGACCCGTCGGCAGGAACGCCTCGTCTTTACAGGAGCGGATCTGCGTTCCCACCAGCTCAGAGTTGGTCGCTAGAATACGAGCGCTCTCTTCGTTGAGGTTCACGCCGGCCATAGACGCCACATCATTGATGTCATCATCGTCTCTGAAATAACAGACTAAAATCAGTGTGATCTCACGGTACAATATCTAACTTACATACAGTACTGAAGACTGTAATCAAATGCATATTCAAAGCACTTGATATATTCGACAATCAGCCACTGATGTTGACTCGCACGGATAACTACATTAAAAACTACATTGAAAAGTATTGTTGTGTGTATTATTCTGATAGTTGTTCATGCAGGATGAAATTAACCAATTAAAAAGACTGATTACTAGTGGTGAGAAACCAAGTAATGGTGGTGGGTTACAGAACCTGAAATATTCACTCCTACTACATTCTTTTACATTTTAACCTAATAATATGAATATTTAAATATTATTTAAATATTATTTTTCATATTTAAATATTTTTTTTTAGATCTCAACATAAAAATAAAAATTAAATGTAAATTATTTGTCGACTATCCGTGTGAATCACGAGTATTCTCAATAAAATGGGAATGTGGATGTGAGTGAATAAAATTTAAATAAATAAAGGAGTAAATAAATAAATGCTCCTGGATATTTTTTGTCAGCTATCCACATTTGCATCACTTGTATTATGGGCAATGAGCATAAATAATAATAATAAATAATAAATGTGATATAAATAGTGTTCAAATGATTAAATAATTATTAAATCAAGATCTCAGACATGTTATTTGTCGTCTGTCTGTGTACATCACGTGTATTATGAACAGAATGGGAATGTGCAGGAAATTATTAAGTAAATATATATTTTTGCATTGTGACATGATGGATGGATGGATGGACGGACAGATGGATAAATGGATGGATGGATGAATGGATGAATAAATGGATGGATGGATGGATAAATGGATGGATGGACGGATGGATAGGTGGATAGATGGATAAATGGACGGATGGATGGACGGATGGATGAATGGATGAATAAGTGGATGGATTGATGGATGAATAAATGGATGGATGGATGGATGGATGAAAAAATGGATGGACGGATGGATAGATGGATGGATGGATGCATAAATGGATGGATGGATGAATAAATGGATGGATGGATGGATGGATGGATGGATGGATGGATGGATGGATGCATAAATGGATGGATGGATGGATGGATAGATGGATGCATAAATGGATGGATGGATGGATGGATAAATGGATGGATGGATGGATGGATGGATGGATGCATAAATGGATGGATGGATGGATGGATGGATGGATGGATGCATAAATGGATGGATGGATGGATGGATAGATGGATGCATAAATGGATGGATGGATGGATGGATGGATAGATGGATGCATAAATGGATGGATGGATGGATGGATAAATGGATGGATGGATGGATGGATGCATAAATGGATGGATGGATGGATAGATGGATGCATAAATGGATGGATGGATGGATGGATAAATGGATGGATGGATGGATGGATGGATGGATAAATGGATGGATGGATGGATGGATAGATGGATGCATAAATGGATGGATGGATGGATGGATAAATGGATGGATGGATGGATGGATGGATGGATAAATGGATGGATGGATGGATGGATGGATGGATGCATAAATGGATGGATGAATGGATGGATAGATGGATGCATAAATGGATGGATGGATGGATGGATGGATAAATGGATGGATGGATGGATGGATGGATGGATGGATAAATGGATGGATGGATGGATGGATGGATGCATAAATGGATGGATGAATGGATGGATAGATGGATGCATAAATGGATGGATGGATGGATGGATAAATGGATGGATGGATGGATGGATGGATGGATGGATAAATGGATGGATGGATGAATAAATGGATGGATGGATGCATAAATGGATGGATGGATGAATGGATGGATAGATAAAATTAAAAGCAAAACAGAAATAAAAATAAAGTTAAAAAGAAATATGAATAAAAATGAGAAGCACGGAACCAAATTACAAACACAAACTAAAATGAAAACTGAAAATTTGAAATTCAAGCCAACTCAAAACACGAATGAATATAATAATAGTGCTGATATTCCGCCGGAGTGTTGACGTTATCAGGCGAGCGTGACGCAGTCCATCAGCGCGATTGGCAGCTCTTTCACCCAATCATTACTCTCCCTTTCCCCGTTGCCTTGGTAACAGTGTCCTAATTACGGCACATTAGCAGTGGAGTTTCCTGCGCCCGCGGCACTGCTGAAAACTTCACGGCTCCAGAGGTCAAAGTTCACTCAGCTCCACTCTGATTTACGTCCGCGTCTGTACCTCTGTTTCTGACACTGACCCCCTGGCATCTTCACCCGCGTCCACGCCACCCCCGGTGCCCGAGTGAGTGTGTGTGAGTGTGTGTGGTGCGGCTGGGCAGGGTGTATATGAGTCCTGACACCACGGCAGGAGCTGACAGAGGCCATTAGCACTGCGCTGAGCTAGCACGTTAGCCTAGCTGCCGCCACACGCCAGAGACATGAATGAGAGGAGTTTCAAGTCATGTGAATTATTGTCTTTCTTCTGCCATAAATGATCGGTCCCATTCGGCTTCCCTTTACGGGAAAAAAGTTACAATATTTCCCGCCAAATCAGTGTCCGGTGTCAAATAAATATATGCATTGCCATTTTCTTCTTGAAAAAAATTCCAAAAAAGTATTGAATAATTAGTTTGAAGACTTTAACAAAACCAACCAGCTAATTAAAATATTCAATTGAAGCAAGCAAGTATTTAAAACTTTATAATCTTCAAGAAAAAAGATTATATAAATATATAAAAAAAGATCAAACCTATAAACAATCGTCAACAAATTAATATAAATAAATTGAAATTACTGAAACTAAACAAAAAAATTAATTAAAGCTACATATTTAGATATTTAAAATGAAATATATTTGAATATAATATGAATTATAAATATGAATAATATTTCAGTATTTTAAAAAAACTAATAAAAATGACGAAAGTTAATAAACAAAATGAATAAAGCTCAAACGAAAATGAAAACTGAAAAAAGCTTATTCAAAATATAAATAATCATTTGATTCACAAAATTAGTATTTTTACCAATTGGGACTCTTAAACTATATTTAAACTACATCAAATATTTTCTCTTTTTAACCACATCTGCTGAAAAATAAAATCTCCCGCTTCCTAGAGCAATCAACTTCATAAGAAATCTGTACTATATCTGTATACACCACATGTTACATAATAACATTATTATTACTTATTTATTTCTTCTCATATATATTGAAAAGCTGTGGAACTCTGTCCTTGTTTATGGTTGGGTTTGTTCTCTCTTTCCTCTTATGTCTCATGTTTTATCTTATTTTCTCTAAATTAAAAAGGTAAACTAAACTGAATTAAACTCAAAGACCTGGTGTTACCCGACGGGTGGTTTGGTTTGATCGGGGTGCGAGAGCCAATCACAAACATCATGGTCACGAAACACGCCGTCGGGCATAGGGTCGTCAGTACAAGCAAACCTGACAGCTTAATTAGCCACACTGCTAAAGATTTATTGGTTTATCAATCAGAGCCTGCGGCTGACGCCCAGAGCAGAGAGAGAGAGAGAGAGAGAGAGAGAGAGACATAAGTGAACTCTATGACCTCTCACACACACACACACACACAATAGCTCTGTTACACACCCTAGCGAGCTACCTCATTGTTCACAGTCTACATAGGGAGCATCTTCACCTGAGATGAAGCGCCCTACACAGGTAGCATTCAGTGTAGTGTAAGAACACTTAATCAACTTCAGTAAAAAGAAAAAGGATTTGAAAATCATTGTGTGAATGATTATTCTATTTAATCGATCATATGTATAAAATAAATATATATTTTAAATTTAATGCAAAATATTCAAGCATATAAAACAGTGTTGTTACTGCGAACTAAAACTAGGGCCTAATAATAAATCGTTTTTTGGCCAATTAAAAGAAAAAGAATAGATAATCATAACATGAAAACTGTTCAATTGAAAAACTTAAATTGAAGTATTAAAATGACTAAAAAAATAATAATAATAAAAATAAAAAAATAATGTATATATATATATATATATGTAATAATATATATATATATATATATATATATATATCAAGACATGTAATAATATATATATATATATATCAAGACATTAAAAAATAAATGTAATTTTTATTTTAAGTAATTTAGCTAGTTTTGAAATGATCACGCAAAAAGGAAAAGCAATGTCCAGTAAGCGAACACTAAACTCCCTCGTGTGTTCAGTCTCTCTGACTGGAGCGTGCGCGGCTGAGAGTGAAACACTGCTCCCGTGTGCCGGCGGCCGGTATGACAGTACCTGTACGAGCCGCCCCCTGGGTCCGTCAGCCGGTTCCTCTGGTTTCCTGAGAGCTGAACGCTGACGCCCACTGGGCTCTTGCCCATCTGGAGACCTGCAGGCTTCCCTAAAGTACCTGGGAAAAGACACGATTGCATTATCATGAACTTACACACCTCTTTTCAACAAACCTGATCCTGTCAGGAGCTCAACCGGCTCAGGCTCAGCCAAGCTCACGGCACACTTCACACTTCACACTAACACAATAACACACAGTATTCTGCATTAAGCTAATGAAGCCCGTTTTAAAAGCAATACCAGTTTCTGCATTGTGACAATTAAATAGATAGATAGATAGATAGATAGATAGATAGATAGATAGATAGATAGATAGATAGATAGATAGATAGATAGATAGACAGACAGACAGACAGACAGACAGACAGACAGACAGACAGACAGACAGACAGACAGACAGACAGACAGACAGACAGACAGACAGACAGACAGATAGATAGATAGATAGATAGATAGATAGATAGATAGATAGATAGATAGATAGGTAGATAGACAGGTAGATAGACAGGTAGACAGATAGATAGACAGACAGACAGACAGACAGACAGACAGACAGACAGACAGACAGACAGACAGACAGACAGACAGACAGACAGATAGATAGATAGATAGATAGATAGATAGATAGATAGATAGATAGATAGATAGATAGATAGATAGATAGATAGATAGATAGATAGATAGATAGATAGATAGATAGATAGATAGATAGATAGGTAGATAGACAGGTAGATAGATAGATAGATAGATAGATAGATAGATAGATAGATAGATAGATAGATAGATAGATAGATAGATAGATAGATAGATAGATAGATAGATAGATAGATAGATAGATAGATAGATAGATAGATAGGTAGATAGACAGGTAGATAGATAGATAGACAGACAGACAGACAGACAGACAGACAGATAGATAGATAGATAGATAGATAGATAGATAGATAGATAGATAGATAGATAGATAGATAGATAGATAGATAGATAGATAGATAGATAGATAGATAGATAGATAGATAGACAGGTAGATAGGTAGACAGACAGACAGACAGACAGACAGACAGACAGATAGATAGATAGATAGATAGATAGATAGATAGATAGATAGATAGATAGATAGATAGATAGATAGATAGATAGATAGATAGATAGATAGATAGATAGATAGATAGATAGATAGATAGATAGATAGATAGATAGAGAATGTGGAATATGAGCCGCATGTTCTCGACGAGCTGCCATTTCCACTGATCCTCTGCTTTTGTCTTCCTGCATCTCGCTCTTCTATCTGTGTGTCTGTCAGAGTTCCCCTATACACTCCTCACACACACAGCGACCGCCAGGGTGCATTTGAACGTGATGTTAAGAGGCATGTTCTTGCCCCACAGCTACAGGAGACGCTATTTTTAGAAACTTTCTCCCTGAAAAAGCAGTTCCAGGGCGAAGATACAACACACACCCGACAGAGATGGGCAGGGAAGGAAACACACATCAAATCTCCAAACACACACCTGTATGCAAGAGTGTGTGTGTGTGTGTGTGTGTGTGTGTGTTACCTGTCGTTCGCACCGTCTGTGTGATGACCACAGGCATCCGTATCTGACCACCAGGACCCGCCGCCCTCTTTATACCCTACAAACACACACACACACACACACACATTTACTCCATTTCACCTTCACATCCTAACAGTCGTACACTAGTCTTGCTCAGTTCTGTGTCTGGAGCGAGTCGGCAGCGTCTCATCAGATTCATAAATCCGACTGTATTATATTTCATCTGCAGTTTCTAAGGCCTGTAAATGATCAACACAATCTAAACTTTGCTGATGTTTTTACATCAATCACACATAAATCCCAGCGTCCTCCTTCAGCTCGTGCTTCACGCGTCTTTCTGCTGTGAAATATAATTATCCATAACTATAACTCTTATATTGTTAGTGATATTTCAACAGGACTGAAGCACCTCATACATCGTTTGTTTAGCAAAATGATTGTCAAATATGATCATCAGTATTCAAGGAAGATCTCTCAATTATTGCATTGCATTACATGTTTTAAAACTACAGAGCTTTGATTTGCATTAATATCTTACTAAGACATTATTGGCAGATGTAAAGAGATGACTTCATGCTGTACTGTTATAAATATCTCACTTATTTACATGGCAAACATCAGAATTTCATCACTTTTTGTCCATATAAACATCAATATTTGCACCAAATTGCATATTTTTGCTCAGTTTCGGCCTCTGGGCTATTCCTCCATATTCTCACTATATCACACTATATGACACTGATGTATTAAATACGATATTTTCTTTCTTTAAAAGGGTTACTATGAATTGTACAACAACAAAACACTAAGAACATGTATTAATAAAATAAAGTCTTGTTGATTTTAAAGGAGTAGGTCACTTTTAAAAAAAACTTTTGCTGATAATTTACTCACCCCGATGTCATCCAAGATGTCCATGTCTTTCTTTCTTCAGTCGAAAAGAAATGAAGGTTTTTGATGAAAACATTCCAGCATTTTTTCCATATAATGGACTTCAATGGGGACCAAACGGTTCAAGGTCCAAATGAGAGTTTCAGTGCAAACTGTTCAATGGGCTTTAAACGATTCCAGACAATAAATAAGGGTCTTATCTAGGACCCTTCGAGTCATGATTCAAAAAAAGATTCGTTCATTTTGATGAGCGAGTTCAAACAGCAGAGTCACGAACGCTCATCACAGAACAGAGCGAGGCGAGCATTTGTGCTTATGAAACTTAAACTTTGTTATTTATTCATTAAATGAGCGATTGTTTCGCTTAATAAGACCCTTATTCATCGTCTGGTGTCGTTTAAAGCCCTTTGAACAGTTTGCACTAAAACTCTCATTTGGACCCCATTGAAGTCCATTATATGGAGAAAAATCCTGGAATGTTTTCATCAAAAACCTTAATTTCTTTTCGACTGAAGAAAGAAAGACGTGGACATCTTGGATGACATGGGGGTGAGTAAATTATCAGCAAAAGTTTTTTCAAAAGTGAACTACTCCTTTAAGATTTTAAGAATTTAAAGTAACGACAGTGTGTTTTGATGGAGAGATGTAGAGTTGAGGTGTGGTCAGTGTAGAGGAAGAGGAAGAAAACAAGCGTGTGACAAAGTGAGGAAACAGGAGCAACACTAATAGAGACGCTCGTCCCCGTGAGTCCCTCAGTGCCGCCCGGAGCAAATCCCATCCATCCATCCCACTTTCCCTCCACCTGCATATTTCCCACACCTCGGGGAGATCTCCTCGTGAACCTCGGACACAGGACACACACTGACGCACTGTTCAATGCCATTAATAAAAAGCACGAAAAAGCTTAAGAATTATATTTAGTTGTTTTTCATTTTTTTAAGATGTTTAATAAGGATAGTAACACTTTACTTGAAGGGGTGTGCATAAGACTGACATGACACCTTCATAACCAGGACATATGTCATGAACATTAAGTAGGGTTTATGCATGTTTGACAACTGTCATTAAGTTTCTTTCGCTCAATAATGACATTTTGAATGCAAATATGACAAATATGACCCATAAAAACCAAGCGTTTTTCAGCTGGGCTCAAAACTAGGGTAGAAAATAGCCTATTACTTATTCATTTGGATGTTTTGAATGCAAAAACCAAGCAAACGCCATAAGTTGACCTCAGACAACAATATAATAAAATTTAAAAAGCCAGTTCATTTAAGATGTGTACTGAAATCTGCTTTATAAATAAGTGCATCTATGGCAAGCCATTTTAACTTTTATTCATTTCCAGGATATGAATTGTTGATATCAACAATTGCATTTTTTGATATCAACAATTGAATTGCTCTGTAATTGTATTTTCACTAGTGAAATTTCACCATAGGCTGCCATTCAAAATACATTTTTGATAGCAATAATTACATTGTTACTAGTAAAAATACGAATTCCTGATTTCAATAATTAAAATTGTCACTAGTTGAAATGTATATTCTTGATATCAACAATTCAATTGGTGGTACTAGTAAAAATGATCATTTTTGATATCTGAAAATGTATTTCTGATATCTAAATAATTAAAATTTTATATAAAACTATGTAAATGGCGCTCTGTGGCGCAGCAGGATTTTGAACACGGTCCTGAGGCGTTGCTGGGCGCCGCCGGTATGTGTACACTTATAGATAATAATGTGTTCGAATTTTAAAGATGTGGCGCGGCGCGGCGCTGAGCTTATCGTCCGGTGTGCGACCCCCTTAACGTTAATTTTGTGAAACTGTAGCTGTGGTTGAATACTTACACGACATGAAAAGATGTGTCAAATGTACATTTAAATTGATTTTTTATTCTTATAAAGTTACCAAGGAGGACCAGCCACGTCAACTCCTTGCAAGAGACCTGCCCCTTCAAACCCTTTCCACCATAGCTTCGTACAGTAACTAATTTACTTTTAAACCGGACTTTTCTTGCGGTTATTTCAGTTTAATGAAAAACAAGCATGTCATTAAACGCAACGTTTATAGAAATCGAACTTTACCTCATCCATGACAACTAATTTTCGATTCCCGTCTGACTGATTTATCCACGGTGGAGTTGAAAACAACAGTTCCCATCATTCCGCGTTCCTCCACGGCGTCATCAAGCAAAGCCGTTGTTGTTGTTGTTTTGAATGTAGCGCCCTCTAGCGGCATCTAAATCTTAGGTATTGTAGCTTTAACTAGTGAAAATACAATTGTTGATATCAAGAATTCATATTCTGCGAATGATTAAAAGTTCAAACGGCTTGCCATATGCGTCAGACGTTTGTTGTTTTGTGTGTGACGAACATTTCCACACTATGACCTCACACAAGAAGCTAGTACAGTCCTGCTGAATGAAACGAGAGCAGAAGCGTATTGAGATGAGAAGAGCTCGTACTTGCGGCAGGACGGCGGTGCTGTTGGGCTGGTGCGGACGGACACACACACTCGTCTGGACCGGCGTCACGCTGCTCTTGTTGGGCTGGAGAGGTTGTGCGAGAGAGTGCTGGCTGTTCAGGAGAGACAGGCGCAACGCAGGGAGACTTTTCTGCAAACACAGACATGATTTTATAGCGTTCACTTATTTCAGTAATCCCTCATTCACACTTTTTAAACAAACGTATCCTGTGAAAATAAGGAGTGTACGGTACTATTGAAATTGAAAACATTTGCACATTTCTAATCGTGCTGCTTTGACTTGGACATTTTCAAATACCGAACTTCTGATTAGGACAAATGTACAGTAATGTACAGAAGTAGCTGCACTGCTTAAATACTAAATTAAAGTTTTTGAATGAAAAGATATGTAAAGTCACACTGATGACATCATTTTTATGTGAAATGCGCATATTTACCCCCAATTGTCATGGTATGGGGAAAATTATTATTTTTTAAAACTTGAAACCAATTTCATTGGATTCCTTGACCCCAAAAATGTGTCATTATAGCGATAACAGAAGGAAAGGTATGGGCTCTAGAGTAATTTCAACGCATTGGCGGCCATTTTTGAAAAAACATGTTTATTTCTGATACAAAGTGTGATCTCACTTGTGTCTTAGGATTAATTTATTTGTATGACCCTAAGATACTTCCATACCAAAGGACACCTTTGCATCATGATTTTGCATCATTTTTTGGGCTTAACCTCCCTACTAGATATAATATTGCTAATAATCTACTTGTAGAAGACCAGAACTTTCTTTTCTTTGAAATAACGTGTCGTGCACTGATGAATCATTCACAATAACAAAAGCTAATTTTAGATTATAAAGTTGTTGTCATTTTTCTCACAGAGGCCGACACAGATCATTAACCTCAGTAATCAAAGACGTGTCCCTGATGTCCCGTGAGGACCCCGATGGCTATTCTGGAGGATCCTGACGTAAGAGAGCTAACGTAGCATGACAGCGCGGACACATTAGCGTGCCAGGTCGGACCGCGCAGGATATGACACGTATTACGCCTTCAGGCTACTGACCGCGAGCGACCCAAGCCACGTGTGTGTGTTAACCAGTGTTGTGTGTTACATAATCAGATTACTTTTTTCAAATAACTAGCAAAGTAACACATTACTTTTAAATTTACAGCAAAAGTTATTTTTTCACATTTATTGACTGACAGCTCTCTCATCCTCATGTTGAGACAGATTGTGAGTAAGTGCAGAGATGTTGTGTGTGAATATGATGGCTACTGTCGTTCTAGACTAAATGTGAGCATGCATTTACTAATCTCACTTGCACAAAAAAAAAAATTAAATATTCAAACTTAATAAAATGAGTGAAATGCAAAATCAAAATAATACGCAAACCTCCAATAATTAAATGTTAATTTAACAAATATTCGTTTGCATTTAATCTCACTTTATTGACCAATGTACTTGCTGCTAATCTTCGATGATTCAGTTACACCATAAGCAAAAATCACTTGTTTTTATTGGTAAAGAACTGTCTATAAGTGTTAAACTTTCTTCTCCTGCATCCAGAATTGCCTGAGTGGCGCCCTCTAGTGTACACGTGTGAATTTGCATTTCCTTCAGCCTTGGTCTGAAAAGGCCTTTACATTCACCCAAAAATAGAACTGGAAATAGAAGGGGAAAAAACTTAGCCTAGGTGAGAAAAAGTAACGCAAAAGTAACGCAAAAGTAACGTAAAAGCAACTAAGCAACGCAATTAGTTGCTTTTTAAAGGGATAGTCCACATTTTTTGGAAATAGGCTCATTTTACAATTCCCCCAGATTTAAACAGTTGAGTTTTTACTGTTTTCAAATCCATTCAGACGATTTTCTGATATTTAGAGGAATATCAGTAACCAGAGAGTTTCTGGTCTCATTGACTTCCGTAGTATATTTTTTTCCTACTATGGAAGTCAATGAGAGCAGAAACTGTCTGGTTACTGATATTCTTTTAAATATCAGATGGATTTGAAAACGGTAAAACCCAAATATTTAATCCTGAGGGAGTTGTAAAATGAGCCTATTTCCAAAAAAAGTGGAGTATCCCTTTAAGGGAGTATTACACAATAAACAATACTGTAATGCATTACTTTTCAAAGTAACTTTCCCCAACACACACGTGTATGTGTGTGTGTGTGTGTGTGTGTGTGTTATCGCACCTTCAGGAAAGGGACCAGGTAAGGCTGCGGAGACGACTTGAGCTCGGACTGTAGCCGGCTGGTGAACTCCTCCGGGTCGATCTTTGCATCCTGAGAGGAGCGACAGCACATGTTCATGTGTACAGCGAGAAAACATGCAAACTACAGGAAGATGATTAGAGGATGAAAACTAATGGGTTTACATGAGACAAATGTCAAGTTGAAGTTCAAATTTATTTGTAAATCACATTATATCAAAGTGATGCACACAAATAAACACAAAAAACAAACACAGTCGAGAACGTCACAGTGGCGAAACTCAACTCGAAGGAGGGTCTTAAAGGGATAGTTCACTTTGAAATTAATTTTTGGTATGTTTTATCTTACCTCAAGGGCATCCAAGATGGAGGTGTCTTTGTTTCCGCAGTAGTTTAAATTTTGATCATTTTAGGTCAAACCGTTCTTGTCTGTCAGTCATATAATGGAGGTCTATGGTCACCACCTCAAAGAGCATGCACAGAGAAGTCCAAATTAAACATGATTTAATGACTCGTAAATGTAAGTACACATTGATGGACGAAGACACGAAACGAGCGGTTTGTGTGAGAAAACGAACGGTATTTATATGGTTTTTAGCTCTTCCTACCACATCCAAGTGATCTGAGGCCGCGGGCACTTTGTGTCTGTGGTTACAAGAGGTAAAAACGATGTTTGTTTTCTCACACAAACCGCTCGTTTCGTGTCTCAGGCCATTAATGTGTACTTACATTTACGAGTCATTAAATCATGTTTAATTTGGACTTCTCTGTGCATGCTCTTTGAGGTGGTGACCATAGACCTCCATTATATGACTGACAGACAAGAACGGTTTGACCTAATAATATCAAAATTGAAAATACTGCAGAAACAAAGACACCTACATCTTGGATGCCCTTGAGGTAAGATAAAACATATCAAAAATTAATTTCAAAGTGAACTATCCCTATCCGAGCTGTTCTTATATGATCCGGTAGACTATTGCAGAGATTAGGACCAGCCAATGAGAAGCCTCGCTCACCTTCACGTTTTAACCTGGATCTCAGAACTGGATTTTCTAAGCAGGGATTATATTGGGGATGCAAAATCAATGAAGAACAAGAACATCTGATGTTTCTGAAGCAGAACCGGCACACGTACCAGCAGATCCTGCACCAGCGCCTTCACGTTTCGAGACGTCTCCGGGGAAGGAGAATTATGGGATGCCAACTTGATGAGTGTCGCCAAGAAGTTCTTGCACTTCTTCACGTTCTCCTGCATCTCCTGTGGAGCAGAGAGAGACTCTTAAAGACATGAACGAGACGAGCCTCACGATGACACATCACAGGCCGAGCTGGAAAGTGTGTTGATTTGGACGGCTGCTCGTGATAGTTTATCACACACACGCGCTCTGTTGTGCTTTTGTTGTCATAATCAGCGATCGCCGCTCACGGGTAAATACAGTATTTTAATGAAATCCTCTGAATTCCATTTAAATGCTACAAAACTGTCAATCAATAGAGGTTAGAGAATGTGTCAATCAAAAGCCTTTTTAAGGCGGGTGTGTGTGTGTGTGTGTGTCGCTGATCATCTTCCATTTCCAGGTCACACTAAACCACAAATTCAAAAGAAAAAAAAGAGGCTTATTTTCAGAAGTGAACTGTGACTTCATGACAAGTGAAGAACCGAAAAGTATACGGATGATTTATTTTGATTTTTTTCTTTTTAATTTCTATTATTCTTGAGCAATAAACATGTGATTATTTGATATAAATTACTGTTGCCATAAATTAAAAGCTATACAACAAACACTATCATTAATTTTATCATTAATGTTTTTTCACATTATGAATAAATAT